ATTTTTAGTCAAGAACTCACAGAATTTTGGTGCATCTCCCCAAACCATTCCTTCTTTTCTGTCTCCTGGAGCAAAATAGAATTGTGAGGTCGATGTGTTGTATCTTGTGAAGGTTTATCTGTTCCAAGTCCCCACACTTTGCACATAAAGGCAGATGGGAATCTCTGTGTGAAGACCCCCTGAGCTATGTTGAAAATACAAATACTTGATCCTTTGTGTCAGGGCTTTTCCCCTCAGTACTACGGATGCTCTGGCCCCAAGGAGCCCTTATGGGGAGGAGGCCGCTGTCAGCGCCTGCGATGCTGAGTGTCACCCCTGCCTCCTACCCTCTGATGTGTCCCCGAGGAGCTGTTGTGGGAAGGCCATCTTTGGCACCTGTGATGCTGAGCCTCACCCCTGCCTCCTGCCCTTCAATGAGGTCCCAAAGAGCCCTTGTAGGGAAGTCGTTCTCAGTGCCTGCGATGCTGAGCCTCACCCCTGCCTCCCACCCTCCCCTGTGGCCCCAAAGAGTCCTGTGAGGAGGCTGTCCTCCACACCTGTGATGCTGAGTGTCACCCCTGCCTCCTACCCTCTGTGCCATCAGCATCCCTCCTCCCAGCGGAATCGCCCTGCCTGAGAACTGCTCCTTTAGGTGGTGGTGTGGGACATGCAGGTTTGCATTTCTTCATTAAGAGTTTTGAATTTCTGAAAATCTAGTTCTGATGACTATGAAACATACTTGAATGTGGACCTTCCAGCAGACAAGCCTCCAGAACTGTGTCTTTTCATATGCATTTCAGCCTGCCCATGAGTAAATCTGCATACAGCTTTATTTCTCAGAGATCTCGGCCTTTGTGAGGCACGGATTCTGCCATCTCTGTGTAGCTGCGTATTCCTCTAAATGCTTCTATGTGCTGGAGGATGCCGTCCCCTCCCTGTTTCCTGGGATGCAGGATTATGGAATTTCTGCTGTGTCCCATGAAGGGTTAAAGCATTCCAGGGAGGGAAACTCTGAGATCTCCCTTTCAAAAGACACTTTAGTCAGGGAAGTGCTTTCCAGCTGAGTCCATCTGTTCTCTCCCTGCATGGATGGGGCAGCTGCTGTCCTTGCTCCTAGCCTCGAAAGCCGTTGTTAAGTTCCAGCGTGGCCTTTCCTTTCCCAGGCCTATTTCAGCCGATTACAGCCTTTCCTGTAGGCCTTTCTGTTCATTAGTTAGTGTCCTTGCTTTCTTGTACCATCTCCCAGTTTTCCACAGTTTATTTATGCTGGACATAGAGTTACAATGGAAACTCACCCCTGCTGGGTTAGGGCTGCCCCAGACGTCTCCCGCTGCAGACCATGCTGCCTGTTGGAGAGTGGTGTCACTGGGTCACAGTCACCATCTGCCCAGCAGGGTCCGGAGTGTTTAGAATGTTTCCTGCACAGTAGAAACCCTTTTATCTGATGTTCACTTAATCAAAGAGGTTGAAGCTGAGAAGCGTAAGCGTGCATCCACGTCTCCCAAGAGTGTTCATGCCTCTTCCATGCAGGGCCAGGCTGCTGCTGAGCATGTTCTGCTGGCTGTGGGTGTGGCCTCTTTCCATTGCAGGCCTGCCACAGCTTTGAGCCTTCTAGACGAGAACAGGCAGCACAAAAGAAACAAGATAAGTTAGATTTGAAACCTTTAAAAATTATTTCCTCAAACATTTTATAATTTTTTTTGCCCATGCCTAATTTGATGGCAATTTAAAAAAGATTAAAATGAAAAACAATTTACCCCATATCAAGTCTTTAAAAAGCATCCAACGTAGTTTTCATACAATCAATTGCTCCCTCTTTGGAGTCATATTTTATTGGTTTAAGTAATGTGTAACAAGCACACCGGCATAAACAGATTTAGGAGCAGACTCAGCTGCTTCATGATTAGTGTTCAGCTCTCGAGGCCCAGCCGTGGGGGTGCAGCCTGCACCTGCCTGTGCGCCGACACCTTGCACATCCTGGAGCTGCTGGGTGAGTGAGGTCTGGGCAAGGCAGCTTCCACTCACCTGCATAGTTCTCACTTTGTCCACATTATCTGGCAGTGCTACAGAATTATCAAGTAAGTGTTCTCAAAGAATGTGTATTCACTTAGCATTTGGAAAGTGCATAGGTGCCTCACACAACACCCTCAGGAGGAGCCAGGAGCCCAGGAATGAAAGCAGGCCTGATGCCTGTACTCTCTTTGCATAGATAAAATATGCACGTGCATATCTGAGGTTGAGGCCAGAAAGTTAGATTGGGGCCAGAATGTGGAAGTCCTTACCTGTTGGATACTAGGGAGCCACCGAGATGTTTTGGAGAGAGTCGTGCCTCTGACGTGTGGCATGCCGTGGAGCCAGCGGGGACGGGGCAGGCTCAGAGCAGGGCACTCGCCGTGGCGAGAGGAGGAGTGAGAGCCGCCAGTAAGCTGAGCTGTGCCCAGGTCAGGATCTGCACCGCCGAGTCGGAGTTGTGCGTTGCTGGAAATCAGGAGGAGAAGCAAGTGTGGAGATGGCAAACCGCATTTCAGACCTGACTCGGAGCTCCTCGGAGACATCACTGCAAGCTGCAAGTTTGGAAATACAGAACGAGGCTTGGGGAAAATTTGGACTCGGGTGGATTTGGGAGCCCCCATGTAGAAGTGTTGTGAGGCTTGCGTGTTAGAAGGAAGGAAGCCAAAGGAAAGCCCACATTTGGAAATGTAGGAAGGGTCAGAAGACCCAGAAAAGGGCCTCCTTAGAGTCCAGAGAAGAGCTGGTCAGTGCAGTTCTCTAAAGCCCAGAGCCAAGAGTTTCCAGAATAAAGTCCCAAATGTTGCCGAAAACCAGGAGGCAGGACTCCAGTTGGAGCCTGCGAGTAGAGCCTGGTCCCTGAGAGCAGCCAGAGCCAGGAGTCAAGTCCCGTTGGAGCCTGGTGGGCCTGGTCCCTGAGGGCAGCCAGAGCCCGAGGGTAATGGTGGAAGTGCAGGGAGCAGGTGGAGATGGTCCTTCAAGGCCTGGCGCTTCATGGGGGCAGTTGTCCGGCTATGGACCAGGACACAGCTGGGGAGGGGCCTGAATCTGCAGCGTCTCCAGGTGGAGGAGGGAGCCAGGAAGGGCAGAGGTACATGGAAGAAAGAGGGAAGGGTGGAGGTATGTGGAAGAAAGGGGGCAGGCAAGAGCCAGGTCCCCAGAGAGGCTGCAGTCTTCCCTCTCTATTCATGGACTAGTTGTTGGTTATTCTGAGTTCTCAAAGTCATCCACTTTGTGCAGTCCAGAGAAAGTTTCCAGGGGCCACAAGCCCAGAGCAGGCCTTGTGCTTTTCAGAACACTGTGCGTGTTGATTCAGGGTTACTGTCGATGGCTAATTCAAGCACATCTTTTATTGAAGTCTGCAGAAGAGCCTCAGTCAGCACCAGCTTTTGAAGAACTTCGGGATAGAACTTGTGTTCTTCTGATTCTGGGATTTTTGCCTGAAATGCCTCGTATATTTTTGGCTAGGTGTTGTTAGCACTTGTGTTACGGCATTTGGAGCTCTGTATTTTTGTGATGTGCTAGCTGTGAGGATGTTTAAAATTAGATTCCTAGAAATCAGGTTATAGGAGCTCTCGGCCACGCTTCATGGGTTATGTTTTGACACCTCATAGTGGATCCTGTTGCGCTGGCTATTCTTAGTATTTGTAGAACACCTGACTTGTGATGCTAAGAGAACGTTATTTGTTTTCTTTATAAGTCTAAAGTCTAATGACTTTGTAGAGTGTTTATACCCCGTCTTATAAACCAGCTTTAGTGTACTTGAAAATGTCCTCACTGTGCCCTTGAAAGGCAGGTACACATTTTAAAAGTCATCCTACTTTCCCTTTTCTCCAGCCTGTGCCCTCTATTTCATTTTCCTTCACTGCAATGTCATGGAACAGGCACAAGGGCTATAGAATCTCTGTTTTATACACAGAGATGACCTGGGCTGAGCGACTGCTCTGCCAACGTCTGTTTCTGTCTTGTGAGGGAACCCAGGCCTCTTGACTTCTCCTTTTGTACATTTTCAAAAGGAATATTTTTTCCTCTTTCTGGTCTGTCCCACTGTGGGATTCTCTCCTAAGGCTGTTTCTTTGCTTTCAATTTCGACAACTATGATTTAGTTTCTGAGATGATGAAAGGGGGATAGTGAAAGGCCTTTCTCTGAGAAAGAGAAAGCAGGAAGGGAAGGAATTATCTGATGATTTTAGTCAGAAGGAAATCACTCAGACAGACAAGCCATTACAAGTGGGTCAGATCCCAGGAAGTGGGATTGAATAAGTGGCACCCTATCATACAACCCTGTTTTACATTCTTGTTGTTGCCAGGGGTAACAAAAAGAATGGGTATATTCAGTCCTAGGTCAAATACATATCTTTGCTAACTCTGACTGTAATTAGCAGAATTCGTTCAATTCAAGTTTGAGAATACCTTTACAGAAGGAGGTATTCATGCACGTGTGCATATTTCTATTTGTATGTTCACATGTGTTCAAGCATGAATGTGTATATGATGTGTGCTGTGTGTGAGACCTCATTATGTGAAATCAAGAAATGTGGAAATGTGCAGTAAAGTAGGGCTTATTAATTACAAGAAGGTACATTTAGGGGATAAACCACTTTGTATAGAATTGAATAAGGGGGTTTTGAGTGGTATATATGTGTGTGTTTGCATTTATGTGTATGAATGTGTGTATTGCATGTATATGTTTTTGCATGTATGTGTGCCTTTGTAATGTACACATGTATGCAAGCATGTGCATATATGTGTATATGTTGCCTTATTTTTGTGCATGCATTACATGTTTAGGCATGACAGTGCATGTATGTATGAGTATGCATGCATGAATGCTCATGAGTGTATAGTTATGAATGTATATTTGTGTATGTGTGTGTGTTTACATGTCAGATGTATATGCATGCGTGTATGTATATGCATGTGTGTGTATGTATATGCATGTGTGTGCATTTGTGTGTATGTGTTGGTATGCATGTGATTATGTGAATGTGTGTGCATGTGTGAATGTGTGTATTGCATGTATGTCTGCGTGTATGCATGTGTGATATGTATGTGTCTGTGCATGCATGCGTGTGTGTGTGCACATTTGATTTGTGAGTCCTTTCCAGGAGGGGCATGTTCCTGGAGAGAGTGCATGGGATCCTCCACTGTCCTCTCAGGGAGAGAGAGACACTGTAAAAGTTTGAGCTGTCAGGTAAACATGCGTAAAGTTCTGTAAAAATATGTGTTTACATACACCATTGGGGTTAAATACATGTTAAATTGGTGCAAAGCTGTTATAATGCATTAAAAGTCATGTTAATACTTCCTTGTTAAAGTCTTTGTGAATGATTTCCTGTACATGTGATATAAAACACTGCACAGAATGACACCAGGCCAGTGGTGATATTTGCCAGGAGGTCTGGCTAATGATTAGTATTTCTAGTTGCAGTCATGCAGTTTGAGCTTTTCTGGACTTACAGGATGGTCGCTGACTCTGCCCACTGAATGATGCGGGTCTCTGCTGCTTCCTAGTTCTGCCAGCTTCATCCAGAGCTGGGACAGCTGCTCTCAGATGCATTATATTTTTCTCTCCGTAAAGATTTGCAGCATTTGTCAATGTCAGGTCCAGTGTCAGGTCCAGCATCAGGTCCAGCGGCAGGTCCAGCGGCAGATTCAGTGTCAGGTCCAGAATCAGGTCCAGTGTCAGGTCTAGTGTCAGGTCCATCCAGCGTCAGGTCCGTCCAGCGTCAGGTCCAGCAGCAGATTCAGTGTTGGGTCCAGTGTCAGGTCCAGCGTCGGGTCCAGTGTCAGGTCCAGCGTCAGGTCCAATGTCAGGTTCAGCATCAGGTCCAGCATCAGGTCCAGCGTCAGGTTCAGCATCAGTTCCAGCGTCAGGTCCAGCAGCAGATTCAGTGTCAGGTCCAGCGGCAGGTCCCGTGGCAGATTCAGTGTCGGGTCCAGTGTCGGGTCCAGTGTCAGGTCCAG